AAACCCTATTTTTCTTTCCCAAGAATAAACCCTTTCAAGTCAAAGAAGATTCCTATGGCTGGGATTTGATCAAATGAGCGAATGATTGTTATTTACGGGCTTTCATTGATGATATGGGTGGATTCAACTCATTTCGTGACAAAAAGTCGTAATTTTATTAAGGAATTGAGTGTTTTCTCTTATAATGTTATTCGTATTTGGTACTGAAGAGCTGAAAGTCCAGAGGTTTATGAAGTAGGCACCAGATGAAACACGTTTGATGATGAAAGTTGCTACTATATTCGGAATATATGGAGCCTGCCGGCACTGTGCCATTCATCAATAGAAGGCATCAAATTAATGGATATCTCATTGATTGTTCAAATTCCAAGTACAAAAGCGCCTTCGACAGCTGGTCGTGCTGTCATCCTTTAGGCCCTACTCTATCTGAACGTGTCATCCTGTTGTGTGTCCTTTTATACGGTCCGAACGCGCTGTCGAAAGCGCTCGCATATAATTAAACAGAAATTATAGAGCTTTAAATGTTTTTGTAACTTACATTAATAGTATATATTAAATCGACAAAGGTTAACGCAGTCAAGCTGCTGGAAAATAATTCCATGAAAATCAAAAGATAAATAGATAAGTACCTTCTGATCATTCCCATATTGGTTTCGATTTGAGTCACCAATAGACAGCTGTTTCAGCCTATTGGGCATCGTCAGTAACGGTCAGGCGGTCCTCGATTGAAGACAAAATGCGAAAAACCAAGAGAATACTTGATACAAATGGCTGCGTAAACGCAAGCGAAACATAAGTGGAACCACCTATTGGTGTGACACCCAAGTCAACTTGCCAAGTTTTTTATGTCAGTGTTGGTGGTTTGACCAATCAACCGACAACTGGGTAGCAGAAATTTGGGGAAGCTAACCTGAAATGCCNCTTATCTATTTATCTTATATATATAATGTAATTAATGTATGTAATACATTTGTAACAGAATTCAATTGTATTCATATCTATTGTTCATAATGAAACTGTCTTGAAAATTGAATAATTATGTTTTGTTTATTGCTATTTGGTCGAAAAAATTCGAGTTGAAATACTTCTAAAGATATTTATAACACACTACTTTGTAAACATCATCTTTTAATACTCTTGACAACCATTGAAAATGTCACTTTCATTGACAAAAATATATATCGTATCCTTCAACCACCTCAACTGACTTGATTTGACAGAGATTGACCTCGACCGTTGTAGGTGTCGTCGAGCGCTTCCAGGACCGGCCTTATTGACATTGAATAAAACTTTCACGAACCTCATCAAATATTTACACTTCGACGATGTTATTCGGATTGAATATGGTGCGAGCATCTGAGATCCAATTAAGTCGGGAATATTGACTGCTCTGGAGTGTGCACTCAGGACGAGGCGTCGCACCTGAAAATCATATTATTTTGTAGCTTCTTGGGAATCGCGGAAATATATGCATTGAGTGTTTGATCAGGGCAATGGTATTTCGTCCCTCGCGTATACGGTTATTCAATTCCGATTCACTCGGTCGGTTTCGGGGATAGTGACTGGGAATTCGATGATAACGATATTCTTCTGATTTTTCCCTCCTACGCTACGATTCAATGTGGTTTTTGTATCTTTTCAATATCTCATCCTTTGACAACCAACCAATTCAACTCGACAAATTTTGGATTGCGAAATAAATATAAAAACGGAATTTGAAGGTTTCTAAAGCAGCTATCTGACTAACAAGATGGTATTGAAGTTTCGAAGATAGACATGGCCATCAACTTCAATAATGAGTTCTCAAATTTCATACAGCCGCGAAATGTAGACTTCGATTACATGAATAGCAATATCTCAATATGCGGAAAATCAATGTTTTTGCGTCCACTAACGGAACCCGAAATTATAGAATTGATAAAGAGCTTAAAGCATTCAAACGCAAGTGGTCACGATAAGATATCAAACAATTCATTGGACAAATGTTCTTATGAACTTTGCAGCCCAATAACGTACCTATATCATAAACTTGTCTACTGAAAATGGAATTTTTCCGGATAGTCTGAAACTAGCGAAAGTAACACCAATTTATAAAAAAAGGAATAGAAACCTCTATGAAAACTACAGGGGACTTTGCTTTCTCTCAAGTATTTCCAAGATTTTTGAACTGAATTTAAAAAATGAATTAATGTCTTTATTCACAACTAATAACCTTTTTTCAGAAAACCAACAAGGTTTCACAAAGAACAAAAGTACAGAAACAGCAATTTATGAGTCAAATGAGCATCTGGCATTCCATATCTGCGGATTGTTCATATACTTCTCCAGAGCTTTCGATTGCGTTAAGCATGACCTGCTATTAGGGAAATTGGAAAGATATGGTGTAAGAGGAGTTGCCCTAGATTTAATGAAATCCTACCTGGAAAATAGAGGGCAACGTGTCAGTGTTGGAAACACTCTCAGTCAGTTGGCAACCATTAGGCAGGGTGTCCCACAGGGATCAATCCTTGAACCTATACTATTTTTGATATATGCAAATGACCTGATGAAATAGTTTCAAGGATTGTCAACTATTCACACAGTAGCGTATGTAGCGTATGCAGATGACACAAATTTCATAATTAAGGAAATTGATGTAACGACCCTACAGGAAAGGACCCAGGATGTACATAAACAAGTAAACATATGGGCAGAAAAAAATCACTTAACACTCAATACATCTAAAACTGTGATGATGAAGTTCACAATTAGTAACTGACCCGAACATTTTTTATCCATGAAAATGGGGATCTCCCAATTGAATCTTGTACTTCTACAAAAATGTTAGGCGTCACCTTGGACTACAAACTCACATGGACTCCACATATTGAGACTCTCTGTATTAAATTGAGAAAAAACGGCTATGCTCTGAGATTTATGGCTAGCTTTTGTAGTAAAGAGATTTTACTGAGCTTATACTATGCGACCATAAACTGCCACTTGAGATATGGAATTTTGAATTGGGGTACCGGATCTGCTGAGTATGATCTCAGCTTGGGACCACTCGATGCTGTGTTGATGGGTCCAAACATGGTCTGATATTCCTGATTTGCTGTTTTCCCCTCGCTGTGTGTGTTTTTTGTGCTCGGCAATGCGAACATTCAATGGCCTCTCAGTTTCACCACTCAGGGATCCGGTAAATGCAATTCTTGGAAACGCAGTCCACAGCCACACGAAAACCAGGCCACCAAACGAGGCTAACGTGACTTGGAATCTCTTAACTTTTTTTTTGTTCAGTCGTTCTAATTTTACTTGTATTTTATTTTACTATTATTTCATTCCAGGTTAGTTTTGCTTAATATAATTGTTATTTTCAGCTATTCATTTTCAGTTCTTCTTTTTTAGTTGTTTCAGGGATTTCAAATCATTTTATATATTAGACATTAGACATCAATATGACGATGTTCATATTACATAGTAATACAGAAGAAACGTATTATGGAAATGTCATTGTTATGTTTTCCGCCATAAACAAAAACAAAAACAAATATCAAAGTTCTTAACGATAACATGACTTTCAGTTAACCCCGTTTCAACTGCATATTAAGGACCATATACACGACATATAACATACCGGTAAACACCAGATAATGAGGAGAAGCTCTTGAGATTTCATAACTTTCTCATAGATACTCGGTCTGGAATCTCAAACAAACATACCCAGCCAACATTTTCTGAAGATAACAAGGACTAGAGAGTGAAAATAATGATCGTACATACGAAACGAGTGTTTTGACGATTTTCCATAAACGAAACGACAGGTATGAAACACGAAAATCATAACAATAACTCATGAAAGCATGAGGGTTGCTCCTCCAGGAATTGAACTTTATTTCGCCTCAAATGACAGGTAGCGACATGCGTTGGGAGTAATCGAAGATGTATTGTGGAGTTTTATTGTTGTTGGAGTTGTGAGACAATTTCAGTCTGTATGTAACTCAATTAGTGTTTCAGCAAGATGATTCTGAAAACCTGAATGCTCATATTCAAACAGATCGTTCAAAATAAAAATGAGGACAATGACGCTCCAATTCTATGGAAAATGAAGCTTCTCTCATTTGCTCATATACGTGAAAAAACACGAGCAGTAGCCATATGTTCTTTTCTGGATATTGATCTGTGGAAAGATCTTCAAAAGTCGGCGTTTCGTCATCATCTTGAAAGCCATCATTAAGACTCGTTACTGCTTTTGTTTCGTGGAGAGTAACAATAATTACACAGCTAGCACGATGCCCATTTGAGTTCCGACTTGCTTGAAAAATGCACATTCTACAGGGGTGGTTCCATTTTAAATGGGTCACACTGTATATTCATATATTGTTTTTTTTTTACTCTGAATAAAGTGTCCATTAATCAATTAATTAATTGTTGTACAAAATTTCAGTAGTTTTCTTGTATAATATAATTTCAATCGTGCCTTGAGTTCTGAGAAGTTTTGTTCACTTTTGATATTAACTGAAACTCGATTGTAAAACCGTATCGCTATAAAATTATGAGGCATCTCAAACAGAAAGCTAGAATATTCTGGAATTCTCAGAAAATCACTTGTCCATTCAGTATTGAATATGTATATTACCATTTCAAACTTTACAAACTTTGTTCAACATATTATTGTTTCATTTATACATTAGTCCACAGCCACTTATCAGCTATATCTGTCCTCACTAGCTCAGTGACTGAGCTGATTGAGTGTTTAATCATCCCAAAGATAACCATCTGAACTATCACATACTTAGAAATTGTCCGATTTGCGGTACAAACCTCCTTTTTTTAGCTAACCATACTCCAAATCACAAGATCATTCAATTGTGAATGTATTACAATCTGCATGTCTATTTCATTCCGACTCATTTGTTGATCCCTGAAAATGTCGTTTTTGTTCTCGTTTACTTCTGTGTATACTGCCATTCATGCAATATTCAATTCAACTCAAAGTTCACAAAATACTTTTTTTGTTTCAGAATTACCTGAGGATCTTCCAACAATAAGAGTGGAAGGGGAGCCTTTAGACTACGGTGATAGCAAAAATAATAGCGATTCACGTAGCGTACTTAGCATGAGATCGTAGGTAGGTCTCTATTCATGTGGTTTAGATAGATAAGCATACTTCAATTGAGTTTTGAGCATGCGCCCTTAGAAGTCGCTCCATGCCAACAATAATAATAGTAATAAAAACAGAAAATTACAAATAAAGACGCAACAGGCAGATATGCATTTCTGTCATGGAATTGCTCACGGAAACGCGAATGCTGCAAGACGCATTTACCATGAAAGATTTCCTCAGCGTGTAGTGCCTAATAGAAAAACTTTTGTACGTCTCCATGCACGACTTTCTGAAACAGGCAGCTTTAAAAGATCTACGGTTGTCATTGGGAGGCCTGCAATGGTACGAACAGTTCAAATTCAAGAAGCTGTTTTAAATGAGATTGAATTAAATCCTCATACCAGTACTTGAAAAATAGCTGAAGAACTGAATATTACCCTTGTCACAGTGTGTCAGATTTCGAGAGCCCAGCAGCCATATCCCTATCACATGCCTGTAATACTAGCTTTTTCTAATTGGCTACGCGGTAAAAAAGAAGAAATCCAGGTTTCCTAAGTCGAATATTGTTTACAGGTGAATCTTGTTTTTCTAGCAATTCAATTAATAACTTCCACAACAATCTCATTTGGGCCGAAAACAATCCACACGCCTTGATAAAAAATAATCTTCAAGAACAGTTTCCTTATAATATTTGGGTTGGAATTGTCGGTGACCACCTCATTGGGCCTCACTTCCTTCCACCTAGACTTAATGGAGAAGAATACCGAAGGTTTTTAGAATTTGTTTTACCTGGACTTTTAGAAGAAATTCCAGTCATGGAAAGATTCCGTATGTGGTACATGCACGATGGTGGTCCACCACACTTCATTGCAGTAGCACGGCAATTTTCAGATAAAAATTACCATAATCGCTGAATTGGGAGAGCAGGCCCACACCCATGGCCACCTCGCTCGCCCGAAATGAATCCCTTAGGTTATTTTCTCTGGGGACACCTTGAAAAGCGTTGGTATACAAAACTGCTATTCAAAGTGAAGATGATTTACGGAACAAAATCATTAATTCATGTGACTCAATAAAAAATACGCTATGAATTTTCAGAAGAGTGCAAAATTCAATAATGTGGTGTATTGAAGCCAAAGGAAGTCATTTTCAACACTTAATTTAGTGCAATTTGTTAGTCTAGATGTTAACGTTATTTAGTATTTGTTATTATTGTTACATGATTAGTAATATAATTGAAATGATAATTTCCAAAAGAAACATTTAATTCACCATATTATTCCTTGTGAGGTCCAGGGATATGCAATTAGGTCGACATTTGTTTCTTAAAAACCAAGCAAGATACGAAAAAAGTTCAAGTGAAGAAAAAGTTGTATTTCTAATTGCTTGATTTAAAGAAAAAATGAAAATGGCACAAAAGTCAGTGTCGTACATTTTCAAGTCAAAAATATTTGTTCAAATTCCGCTCGAGACGCCACTGGACTCAATAAATTGAATCACGTTCTGACTAAATTAACTCCTTGATGATGTAAATACCATTGCCAAATTACAACAAGATAAGGTAAAGGATATTTAGTATATTAACGAATCACTTTTTTTTATTTTTATTTTGTATCTTGAGAACGAAGGATTTGCGGACCCATATTTATATGAACATTTCGTCTTAAAATTACCTGAAGAATCGTCTCTTAGATTTATGGTATATACTTGATTAACACCCTGTATATTGATTGAGAGGGAATTTTTTACTCTATACAATGTTTTTGACAATTTTTCCTTACAAATTCGAATTGAACCAAAACGCTTCCCAAAAAGATAGAAAAATCAACCAGGCATTTGGCAATGGGAGTTTTGATGAACATTGGTTTGCAAAATTATGTTTCGGAGATTTCAGTCTTCACGGTGAGCTCCGCATTGGTCGACCTACATTGATCCAGGACGAGGGTTCGATTATCCTGGTGGAAACTAATCCATCACAAACAGTGCATTGGATGGTGGAAGAACTGGGCCTTAGCTCTAATGCAGTTTTTGATGGTTCAATACGTATTGGAGGGGCCAAAAAGCAAGTTAAAAATTAAGACCTCTTTATTCCTTAGCTCGCACAAGTTCCGACTTCTGAGAGTTGTCGACAACTGGTTAACGGAAAACAGATTTTACCAGTTGAAAAGTGTATCCTCTATGACAACACGTGACGTTAAGTTCAGTGGTTGGACACCGATGAGCAACCTAGGTACTTGTCGAAGGGGGACACACACCAATGCAAGACTATGGTTGATGTATGATGGTCAGCGGCTGAACTTAACTTTCTGCAACCGGGCCAAACCATTACAGCAGAGTCCTGTAGTGAGGAAATCGAAAAAATATACCAAAAACTGCAACAGTACCAGGCGGCACCGGTTTTCAGTAGCGGGCCAATCTTGCTCCACGACAATGCTCGTCCGCACAAATCCTCATACGTGAATCAAACGAATTGAGCGTCAAAATTCTGCCTCACCCACCTAACCAGACCTCTCACCAACCGACTGCCACCTTTTAAAGCTCTTCGATAACGTTCTCACTCGTAGAACCGTCGCCAATAAGGATCAATCAAAAACGATCGTCATCGACCCAATCACCCCATGGAAGAGCAAGTTTTGTCCATGTTTTGAACATGAAAAATGAATCCTGTCATTTGATAAGAGCTATGTAGGCACTGGTTACAATTATTATTATTATTATTTTTATGCTGACGAAATATATCGACTTGTGACGTTAGTGTTAGCATTTCGAGTAAACTGAATGTGTATTTACTGGGATATTACAGTTTGAAGTGGACTCAAAAAAACTTCTGAAACAAGCTGATATTTTCAAAGTTATATTGAGCATTGAATGTGCGAATTATTATTTGATTTATATAATGGTCTTATTTTCATAGAAACCGGTATGGTTCTGGTCCAAAAGTCAAGCCTTTCTTGAAATACTTTTTGCACCCAGTATCATCAGCGGAAACTTCGAAATATCGAGCACCCTCTAGTCTAGAGCTTTATCATGATAATCTTACTCGTGAGGCCTTTTATGGACCAATGAGTAATTGAAGAATCTGAATTTACAGAGAGGATGGGGGTCGACTAAACAACTTCATTCGTACCCCCTGCCATGAAATCTAGAAAGCTAGCTGATGCAGCCAGGAAGTGACCTCCTCAAGGGCGCAATATATCAAAAATCTGCCTCTCAAAGAATCATCGAGCAGTAGTAACAGAATCTGCATCTGGATGGAAAACAAACTCTCCTGTTGCAGATAAGCAAACGCTCATGCTCAAACGCCGATTCATACGAAAAAGGCGAAAAAGTCCTGCATTGCTGACTTTATTGTATGGTCAGCTATAGCTGATCTGTTTAATGTCGTGATCGTCAATGCAGGAATCTTGCGCCTCAGACATCCGACAACCCCAAATCATCTGTTATCACTTTAGTATGCTGTCATTGGAGCCGTAGACAATATTTCAAAAGATGATCCAGAGGCCTGAGATGTATCATAGGAGATACTCTTTCCAAACTACACATTTATCTTGTTCATCTACCTGGCGAAGATAGTCACATTCTGCCTATCGATCAGATTCTCACTGGAGAAACATGTTCTTCAAAGGCTCTAGTAGCAGATCAGAATTTCAGCAATTCTCATACTTGCTAGCTGACCTGAAGATCATTTACCAACTGAGAATATTAGCTCCTTCGAGAAAATAGACTTCTTTGGTAGTATTTGAATACACAAAACCCACCTGGTTTGCAGAACCTACTTTTTGAAGTACTCATTTTCTATTGTTGCTACTTTATCGTCATTTGTATGAGCTATATTGGTTATTCAAATACATTTTTTGTTGTTCCAGGTTGCAAGAAGTGAACCTCTGTCACCACGTCAACACCAAGAGCTGGCATGGAGCGACCTGTCGTTGGAGCTGGAACTATCAGAGTTCCATTTCAACAGCGGTCGGCTTATACTGCAATGTATAGCTGAAATGGAGGATATCTATCGAGAAGAGGCTGTGCTTAAGCTAGGAAGTGTCCGAGATCCCGTCCCAGAAAGAGGTTGGTATGGTGCGATTTTTGATTTTCTGAAATGGAGTTGAGGCCTAGCTCTAGTAATAGGATTAGACACTTTGGTAGATCTCATTCATGTCGCAGAATGAAACTAGCTAGTCATTTTGTTATCAAGTTCAAGCGAAAAAAATTATCTCACAGATTACATAGGGGGAATGAGGAATTACTTACCTAGAGTGATTGTGTATTCGAATTCAACGACAAAAAAATTGAAATGAAGATACTCATCAAGCTGATTATTTTTACTGTGAAATCAAATCAAAAACAGAGGGATTAAAGAGCCCTTTCGAAACAATTAGTTTCAAAAGAAACATTCGTTATGGAATTGAATCAGATATCATAAACAGGATTGCTACACAATATGTATAGTACATGAAAAGAGATAAAATTCCGATCACATGGATCATTATCATCCTCAAAGGCCGACATGCGATGTTTCGTAATGAAGCACTTACCTCATTGCCTTTTCAGCACCAATCTGGATAACATTATGAGATGATCAACTCAATCCATTCATCAAGTTACGACTTGACTCACTGACTCACTGACTAGCTGGCTGACTGACTTACCCACCGACTGACTGACTAACTGACTGACAGACTATCTCACCTACTGACTCCCTAACTGAATCACTGACTGACTTACTCACTGACTGCCTGACAGACTGAGTCACTGGCTGACAGACTGACTCACTAACTTACAGACAAATTGACCCACTGACTGACTGAGATGCTGACTCACAAACTGACAATGAATGGCTCACTCACTGACTGACTCTCTCACTGACTGACTCACAGAGGAGTATTTAACTGACTCGCCAAGTGACTCACTGACTGACTCACTGACTGACATACCCACTGATTGACTAACAGACTGACTCACCAACTAACTCATCAAATAACTGACTCACTAACGGACTCACCGACTGACTAACTCATTTACTCACTGACTGACTTCCCGACACTCTTACCGACTCATTGACTCACTGACTGAATCCTTTTTTGTCCCACCGACACTCAAAAGGACTCATTGACTCACCGAGTCCATCTCTCTTGGTGTGCGGTGTATATCACTTTTACGTTACGTTACATTATATCGTTTTCGAAGTACTTAGTATACTAGTTAGCTAAAAAGTTATTGATTTCATAGTTATACTCGCAATAATAACGAAATAAATAATGAGACATGCGAATTCAAGGGTTTATTTGATGATATTCAGTTTATCTTCAAGTGAACATGTGATATTAACTATGTGTGATCTTTCTGAAGCATTCGACTATGTTTCGCACGATGTTCTGTTCAAAAAGTTGGAGTTTTATTGAGTGAGGGGGCTACCACTCAGTTTATGTAACAGAACCCAATCTGTGTATATGAATGGAAACATGTCTGACAATAAAACTATCAAGAATGGTGTACCCCAGGGATCCGTTCTGGGACCATTGCTATTCCTGATATATTTCAATGACTTTAGTCATGAAAGCAAGACCCAGAAGGTCTTGTTTACGACCTCAAATACTGAAACCATTAAAAATGGCGATGATACTGCCTAACTACTAGGACTCACTCTTGACCGGAATTTATTATGGTATGCACACATTGATGAACTGAGCAAGAAGCTGTGTAAGAGTATAGTTGCTTTTCGACAGCTAAATAGAGTATTGTCTCTTGACGCCCTGAGAAGTTCATATTTTGCTTTATTCCACTCACATCTGAATTATGACATAGTTTTGTGGGGTAATTCTTGTCACTCCATTGAAGTCTTCAGACTCCAGAAAAAATCAGTCAGAATATCGATGAATGCCAAATATAGAGATCACCGCCGCTTTTCAACGCCGCTTTTCAAGCTGCATTTCAAAAAAAATGGGTATACTACAACTACCATCGGTATTCATATATAGTCAATTACTTGATATCCATAAAAATAAATCAACCTATTTGCAGCATCAGGATATCATCACCATCATGCTACAAGAAATGCAGTTCTGTTCATACAGTCTCGATACAAACTCACAAGGTCTATTCAAAATCAAAATCAAAATGTTCTTCATTGACTATTCTCCATACAATTTTAACGTATTTTTTTGTGGTGTTTATAAAATATATACAATAAAAAAATATATACAAATAAACAAAATGTACACAAGGGTTTCCCCTATGGAGTTGGACAGTGGAAAGGATTGGGATGGGTAGTGAATGGGGTAGAGGGAGTGGCAGNGTCTTTGAATAGAGATGGGGAAGGAAGTCGAAAATCAACAAGCTTTTTTCGAAAAACTAATGTCTCCTTAAAACTCATCTTCCCTTTCAACTTCAAGATCATTCATAATCAATAAAGCTCAAATTTCGCATATTGAGTAAATCGAAATAAATTCAAAACTATTAAACAAAAACATTTTTCGTAGAAGATTTCAGAGTTTTTATCGACCACATTGAATAAATATATGGATATGGAATATCGCGGAATATCCTCAACTATATCGAATGTTTCGAATGATAATTAGCATTTTCCAACTTCTCTGACGACCATCAAAGACGTTTGAGAATGTAACGAAACAAATATAAAAGCAAAAAGTTATAGTTTTGGGAAAGAAAGGTTTTCGCTTTCTACGTCTCCATCTTCATACAAAAAAAAAATAGGAATCTTCTTAAGAAAGGAGAAAAGCATACAATTCCAATGAAGTAACTTTCAAAGTACGTACTACTTACAATACGTACTACTTACAATACGTACTTATCTTACCTCAATAATCCCTCTCGGAACGGCTAATTTCATATAAACATTGAATTACCCGAAAATAATTTTTTTGAGACAAATCGTTTTATACAAACACTGAATTATACAAAAACACTTCCCTTTTTGTAGTCAAAACATTCGTTATGGAATTGGATCAGATATCATACACAGGATTGCTACACAATATGTATAGTACATGAAAAGAGATAAAATTCTACTCACATGGATCATTGTCATCCTCAAAGGCCGACATCCGATGTTTCGAAATGAAGCACTAGCCTCATTGCCTCTTCAGCACCAATCTAGATAACATTACGAGATGAATAACTCAATTCATTCATCAAGTTACGACTTGACTCACTGACTAGCTGGCTGACTGACTTAGCCACCGACTGACTGACTGTCTCACCTACTGACTCCCTAACTGCCTCACTGACCGACTTACTCACTGACTGCCTGACAGACTTACTCACTGACTGACAGACTGACTCACTAACTAACAGACTGAATGAAAATTGACTCACTGACTGACTGAGAGGCTGACTCACAAACTGACAATGAATGGCTCACTCACTGACTAACTCTCTCACTGACTGACTCACAGAGGAATATTAAAAATCTGTTTAAAATCTGTTTTTCCGTTAACCAGCTGTCGCACCCCTACGAACGACAACCCTCAGAAGTCGAAACTTGTGTGAGCTAAGGATTAACGAGGTCTTACCTTTTAACGTGTGATTCCTAACACGTTAAAAGGTAACGTGTTAGGAATCACCTATTCAACTGACTCACCAAGTGACTCACTGACTGACTCACTGACAGACATACCCATTTATTGACTAACAGGCTGAGTCACCAACTGACTCATCAACTAACTGACTCACTGACGGACTCACTGACTGACTAACTCATTTACTCACAGACTGACTTCTTGACACTCTGGCCGACTCATTGACTCACTGACTGACTACTTTTTTTGTCCCACCGACACACAAACGGACTCATTGACTCACCGACAGACTGACTCATGGACTGATCCACTGATTCCAGACTGATTGACCGACTAACTGACTCACCGACTGACTCATCGACTGACTCACCGAATGAACTACTGACAGATTAACTGGCTGACACACTGACTGACTAATCGACTGACTCATCGACAAGTTACGTAATGATATTCATTAACTTATTAGATTCGATCCCAGCTGTTTCCTTGAATTGAAAGAGGTATAGTTTTGAGAGATTGATTTTTGTATAATTCAATGTTCATATGAAAGTAGTTGTTTCGAGAAGGCTTTTTTCTTCTTCCAGTCTTAATCTTCTGTATTGACGGATACTACAGAAATATTTTCCAGAACAAATAAGATCATTCGATGATGTTCTAGTTTCTAATTTATTGTTTTCGGAATATCTTAGTGAGTCCATCTCTCTTGGCGTGCGGTGTATATCACTTTTACATTACGTTACGTTACGTTATATCACTTTTGAAGTACTTAGTAAACTAGTTAGCTAAAAAGTTATTGATTTCATAGTTAGACTCGCAATAATAACGAAATAAATAATGAGACATGCGAATTCAAGGGTTTATTTGATGATATTCAGTTTATCTTCATTAATTCAGCCTGAATTCCTCTAGTACTGTTTGACTACAATCATTAGATGAATATATGATTTATGAAAAATTATTTTTCATTTCAGTCAGTGCATTTTCTGATGCCACATCGATTTCGTCGGAAGCAGCACTGCGATTAGTTGTTATTATTAATATTTTATTGATGTTGACTTAGAAATAGTAAGGAATATTTTGAATTCATAAAAGAATATTCTACTTCTCTTCTGTTCTTCATGATTCATATAAATTTGTTATACCAGGTTTGAAATGTTATAATTTGTTTCTATAATAAATTTTTACAGATTGAAATCTTCGTTTCTATACATTTCCTACTCCAAAAATAGAACTTGAATTTCTGATGGAATTTTGCATCGGTTTTCCATCAGTTGATGAAGAAACTGCAACTTCTGATATTCGATGAATGCTACCAATTTATTTACTGTCAATAATATGTTTGAAAAATATGTTTTTTCGTTAACCAGCTATCGCACCCCTACGAACGACAACCTTCAGAAATCTAAACTTGTACGAGGTAAGAACTAACGTGATAATACCTTTTTACGTGTGATTCCTAACGTCTAACTTTGACACCACTATATCTGATGACACACTCCGCGAATATAATAGAAAAGGAAAAGAAATGTTTATTTCATGTCACACTTAAAATGTGCATAGCGTTTCATTTGAAATAGCTAACATCATCAGTGACAAGTACTGTCGTTAGTTCTTCTGTGAATTGTTTTGATTCCGTCAAAACGTATTCAACGAACATTCATATTTTTCCATTTTGGAAGTTTTTTACTACAGTTATCCTTGTTTCAAGGCTGACCTGTCCTGAATTAATTTTGATGATGAAATATATTCATAATTCTTGATCCTGGAAGTAACGATTGTTCTGCATTCGTAATTAGAAACAATTAAGTAACATTTAACTTCATTTACCATCTTTGAATGCGTAGGATTTGCTTGGTTTCTATGACAGGACAAATAAATGAGTTGTTGATGTCTAAGAACTGTCAGACGTTCATGCACTCGGTTACATATTGAAGATGTATCCAAATGACGAAACGAGTGATATACTTTTCACTTATGCGGAATCAAAAACATTTTTTTTGTCAAAGAATCTATTGTCGTATCCCAAACATTCAAATTGTTTAGACGATTTGAGTGAAAGTTGAGAAACTGGTGCATTTGACAGAAATGAAGGTAGAAAATGGGTTGTTACTGGAAACGTGATGAACAAAATAAATGTGAATATCACCTAAAAACTAATTGAAAATTTTCAAATTCTAAAAAAAGAATCAAAAAGAGAAGAAAATTCTACAAAAAAATTCTTCCGGATTTGCAAAACCGATATTTATAATTTTTCCAGAGGATTGAAAATAAGTCCTGAATCGATTGCTCTGTTATTGTGATTTTTCAGTAGGATATGCATTAGTTATTCAAAAAAAAATTCTACTCAATCAGGAACATTGCAAGTGCGATAATTGTTAAATAACGATCTGAAATTTTTTTCGGAGCTATTTTTGGAAGATCCCAGAATAGATTTCCGTTGGAACAATCAAAATATCGTTATTTTCCAATTTGTCATCAAGAATTCACTTAGGTTAAAAATTAAAAAACTTCATCAATCACTGAAAATATATTTNATGCTGTGTTGATGGGTCCAAACATGGTCTGCTAATCCTGATTTGCTGGTTTCTCCTCGCTGTGTGTGTTTCTTGTGCTCGGCAATGCGAACATTCAATGGCCTCTTAGTTTTACCAATATAGGATTTTCCGCACTCACAGGGATCCGGTAAATGCAATTCTTGGAAACGCAGTCCACAGCCACACGAAAACCAGGCCACCAAACGACGCTAACGTGACTTGGAATCTCTTAATTTTTTTTTGTTCAGTCGTTCTAATTTTACTTGTATTTTATTTTACTATTATTTCATTCCAGGTTCGTTTTGCTTAATATTATTGTTATTTTCAGCTATTCATTTTTAGTTCTTTTTTTTAGTTGTTTCAGGGATTTCAAATCATTTTATATATTAGACATTAGGCATCAATATGAAGATGTTCATATTACATAATAATACAGAAGAAACGTATTATGGAAATGTCATTGTTATGTTTTCCGCCATAAACAAAAACAAAAACAAATATCAAAGTTCTTAACGATAACATGACTTTCAGTTAACCCCGTTTCAACTGCATATTAAGGACCATATACACGACATATAACATACCGGTAAACACCAGATAATGAGGAGAAGCTCTTGAGATTTCATAACTTTCTCATAGATACTCGGTCTGGAATCTCAAACAAACATACCCAGCCAACATTTTCTGAAGATAACAAGGACTAGAGAGTGAAAATAATGATCGTACATACGAAACGAGTGTTTTGACGATTTTCCATAAACGAAACGACAGGTATGAAACACGAAAATCATAACAATAACTCATGAAAGCATGAGGGTTGCTCCTCCAGGAATTGAACTTTATTTCGCCTCAAATGACAGGTAGCGACATGCGTTGGGAGTAATCGAAGATGTATTGTGGAGTTTTATTGTTGTTGGAGTTGTGAGACAATTTCAGTCTGTATGTAACTCAATTAGTGTTTCAGCAAGATGATTCTGAAAACCTGAATGCTCATATTCAAACAGATCGTTCAAAATAAAAATGAGGACAATGACGCTCCAATTCTATGGAAAATGAAGCTTCTCTCATTTGCTCATATACGTGAAAAAACACGACCAGTAGCCATATGTTCTTTTCTGGATATTGATCTGTGGAAAGATCTTCAAAAGTCGGCGTTTCGTCATCATATTGAAAGCCATCATTAAGACTCGTCACTGCTTTTGTTTCGTGGAGAGTAACAATAATTACACAGCTAGCACGATGACCATTCGAGTTCCGACTTGCTAGGACGTTCGCAGATATCCTACAAATGTCACTAAGGCAAAAACAGGGACAATGAGGTATACAGGGTGTTCCAAATTAAGTTGAAACCATTGCCAACTCCGTTATTATTGATGCTACGATATCGGTTGAATGGGCAACTAGTAGTATTTTTAATGGTCTTCTCGATGCCGAAAACAAAAAAACTAACAGTCACGTTTTCGAAATATTTCATAAAATGATATTTTTTCAAATGGAACACCCTATATTTTATTATGTAACGTTTCTTCCTGAAGTTGGAAATGGGCGACTCATGTGGAAATATTCATTTATTTCACTAGTAAAAAAAATTTCTTTGTTTTGGCAAATGCAACCTCATGATTGGATTGGATAGTAACCTCTGGTTTCCTCAAGCACTTGTATTGTAGGAACTTACAACTGCCAATTCATTTGTTTGGTCATAGCAGCAAATTCTTTCAGGCTCAGTCAAGCGCATTCTCGACGCTTCCTTTCGTGGTTCCGATGTAGAACGAACGAAGTTACGGGGAAGAGGAATTTGTAATATTCAGGTGTATTTGAATTCCAAAAAAATCAGTTCATACTGGAGAAAAAAGAGGAAGGGGGAGTGGCAGACTGGGGCATGAAGTATACAGAGTGTTTATTAAACATTCGGCAAAAATTTAAGAAAATGAAATGGTTTAATGATGACTTGCGGCAAATGAGAGAAAATCTCAGTTGCATTAAAACTATACCAGCAAAAGCGCGGAAGATCTTGCATTCAAACTATATCGTGAGCAATATAGGGTCTTGGGAGAGGTGAACATGTGATATTAACTATGTGTGATCTTTCTGAAGCATTCGACTATGTTTCGCACGAGGTTCTGTTCAAAAAGTTGGAGTTTTATTGAGTGAGGGGGCTACCACTCAGTTTATGTAACAGAACCCAATCTGTGTATATGAATGGAAACATGTGTGACAATGAAACTATCAAGAATGGTGTACCCCAGGGATTCGTTCTGGGACCATTGCTATTCCTGATATATTTCAATGACTTTAGTCATGTTTTTTTCGCAGATGACACAACTCTAATAAGGTTTCAGAAAAACATAATCGAAATACCATCAATTACTAATGATACTCTGAGACAGGCATCTCTGTGGTTTACAACAAATCAGTTGAAATTAAACGAAAGCAAGACCCAGAAGGTCTTGTTTACAACCTCAAATACTGAAACCATTGAAAATGGCGATGATACTGCCTAACTACTAGGACTCACTCTTGACCGGAATTTATTATGGTATGCACACATTGATGAACTGAGCAAGAAGCTGTGTAAGAGTATAGTTGCTTTTCGACAGCTGAATAGAGTATTGTCTCTTGACGCCCTGAGAAGTTCATATTTTGCTTTATTCCACTCACATCTGAATTATGACATAGTTTTGTGGGGTAATTCTTGTCACTCCATTGAAGTCTTCAGACTCCAGAAAAAATCAGTCAGAATATCGATGAATGCCAAATATAGAGATCACCGCCGCTTTTCAATGCCGCTTTTCAAGCTGCATTTCAAAAAAAATGGGTATACTACAACTACCATCGGTATTCATATATAGTCAATTACTTGATATCCATAAAAATAAATCAACCTATTTGCAGCATCAGGATATCATCACCATCATGCTACAAGAAATGCAGTTCTGTTCATACAGTCTCGATACAAACTCACAAGGTCTATTCAAAATCAAAATCAAAATGTTCTTCATTGACTATTCTCCATACAATTTTAACGTATTTTTTTGTGGTGTTTATAAAATATATACAATAAAAAATATATACAAATATACAAAATGTACACAAGGGTTTCCCCTAATGGAGTGGGACAGTGGAAAGGATTGGGATGGGTAGTGAATGGGGTAGAGGGAGTGGCAGGAAAAGACCCCGATACATTTGCGCTCTCAATAATTCCGCACGGCAGAGAAAAGCGCCCCCACACAGTCCCCCGATGGGGGACCGCCCCCGCTGGTGTTGGCGGTTGGCTCTCCACTCAAAAACGCCTTATATCAGCCTCATCTATAGTTTTCCGCATCCTGCCGAGGCTTACGCGGAAGTTGTCATTCTGTCGCGTTTCGGTACTTCTCAGAGAATAATTCGTCTGTTTGTTGGTAGCAGTTGTCGATAACCCCCTAGTAAAAGTTCATTAAAAAACCAGGTAAGAGTATTTCTGCTATCACGTCATCATGTGTGCGTGAATACTCTTATCCAATTTTTCCATGAACTAAGCGCGATCGCATTCGCGCCGTTCACGGTATATCTCCAGTTCTTCATAGACTAGTCCGTGTTTAGGGCGCTGTCCATGATAGCTTCTAACTGCCGTGTCTATTAAAAATTCATTGAATATCAATCTGTACAATCATTTCTCTAAAA